GCCCTTTTCTTCTTCCTTCCTTCCTTCTTTCCTCCTTCCCTTTGATATCAGGGAGGAATATGTGATTTTTGTGGAAATCATATTTTGCTTTAGATTTTCTTCTGTCAGTTTTTACCATCATAACACTTAAGTTAAACAAATCATGATGTAAAATTTTAGTACTTGAGTTTTTAATTGTTTCAAAGGCCAAGCATTACATTTGTAAACAGTCCTGGTCAGTAGTTACATAATTTCTCAATAAAAGTGCTATAAAATAAAACTTCAAAGTTGTAATAAGTTAAGGGTTTGTTAACTTTCTTTATGCTTTAAAATTGTCAGTGCATCACATTAGACAGACAGAAAAATCAATATCTCTATGTCATTTAAAGCTATCCTTGGAAGTATACCTTTAATGGGAAATATGGTAGAGTGTCATAACCATTAGTACTAGAAATTTTTGTTTAACTTAGAAAAATTAAGATAATTTTGCCATAGAAAATATTACTGCTGCCATTTAAATTTAAATTTTGAATGTGGTTATAATTTATAATGTTTTGTATATAACTTGCTTTTTTATCTCATATTTTTGAAGCCTTAATTGCAATATTTGATATTTTTGAAAAGCCAATTTTGTTTCTTACATACCAAAAGTGAGCTTGAAGAAATTGATATACTTAGATGACAATAGCTAATGTATAGACCTTCTAATGGAAAAGAATCCTATATAATAAAAGGCTAATATGCAAATAGACCAAACAGTGGAACAACTGAATAACCGGTTGGTATGACATGCGCTGACCACCAAGGGGTGTGTGCGGGTCATGGCAGGCATTGGCCACGGTGGGATGGTGGAGCAAGTGAGCAGGGGTGCCAGACCAAGGCAGGGTGCCAGTTGCTGTCACTGGGGCAAGCCTCTGGTGGTTACTGAAAATTCTTTGCTCCCAAGCGCCACCGTCCCACCCAGCACTCGCACCTGCTGCCAGTGCCGGCCCCACTCACACCCACTGCCAGCACTGGCCCAGCTCACACCCGCAGCCAGTGCCAGAGCTGCTGCTCACACCCACTACTGGTGCCCGGTGCCAGTCCTAATCACTCGGCACCATCAGTGGGTGCGAGCAGCGGCTGCCGGCCCTGATCGCCCCTGAGGGCTTCTCCACCTCCCCCTGCTCCTGAGGGCAATCAGGCAGCAACCGCCACTCACACCTGCTGCCAGCGCCGGCCCTGCTTGCACCTGCTGCTGGCACCAGCACCAATCACTCCACGCCATCAGCGGGTGTGAGCACACGAGCAGGCGAGCGCTGTCAGCATGGAAGCAGTGGTGGCGGGAGAGGGGCTGCTGCAGACAGGACCACGGTCTGTAGCAGGAGGGGTCGGGGAAGCAGAGGATGGGCTGAGTCCCATCCCTGTGCCTACTACCGCAGCCTCGCAGCCCACAGTTCCTTTCAAGGTGCACAAATTTGTGCACTGGGCCCCTAGTCTCTCTATATAAAAGCCTAAGCAACTGGTCAACCCAACGACCCAACCAGTTGACTCGTTGCTATGATGTGCACTGACCACCAGGGGGAAGACACTCAACACAGGAGCTGTCCCGGTGGTCAGTGCGCTCCCATAGCCTGGACCACCAGCCTGGCAGCAGCCACTCACTCCCTCAGTCATCCTGCAGGTCCAATCTCTGGAGAACAGGCCAGGCACTGATTGACCGGCGCCATCAGCACAATCCTGACAGCACTGCTGACCTGGAAGTTGGCCTCAGGCACTGCAGCTGCTTCCCCTCCCTAGATGCTCTGCAAGGAAGAAACGATATAAAAACAGCCACCAGGAGGCTCCTGAGAACTGGCGCGAACATCAGCAGGGGCATCCCACCACTCACCCACCTGCCCAGAGGGCTGATCATGTCCCAGCGCCCCCCACCACCCCCACCCCTCTTGGGATGGGCGCCAGACGCAGGGCTCACAGCTGGCGAGCCTTGCTACAGTGATGCAGCCTCTCCTGATTGGGACTGACTGGGCACGAGCCCTGGCAGGTACAGTGGGGGCCAGGATGAAAGGGAGCGGCAGACAGAAGCAGCAGGCCGCGTTGGACAGGCTTTGGCCCGATCCCCACAGGCCACCCTGAGGGACCCCACCTGTGCCCGATTTCGTGAACCGGGCCTCTAGTTGCAAATATTAGGCTGTCACTGCTGTATATTACAAATAATGAGGCCATAACAAGTTTGATCCAGCTGCTGGTTACTTTGGCTTGCCACACAGTTCATTTAGAACATGGGTTTGGTTTTGTTTTTAAACCCTCACCTGAGATATATGTTTTTATTGATTTTAAAGAGAGAGGAAGGGAGAGCAAGAGAAACATCCATCAGTTGCCTCTCGTATTTGCCCCAACCAGGAATCGATCCTGAAACCTTTTTGGTGTATGAGACAACTCTCCAACCAATTGAGCCACCTGGCCAGGGCTAGAACAATGGCTCTTAAATAAGTTATGGAATTGTTTTAAAATGCTAGAATAATTATTATGCCTATTATTGACATCATGAAGATAGTAGATGTAGTGCAGTAGTGTATTTTGAACTAGGATCAAAGGACTGGTTAATGGTAGTAGGAGAGAGTGAAAGAAATAACTAGTTTTTATAGTACTAATTTTTATGACTCAAGTGTTTTAAGGTCTCATATGTCAAAGTATTTTATTTTAATATATTTTTATTGATTTCAGAGAGGAAGGGTGAGGGAGAGAGAATCATCAATGATGAGAGAGAGTCATTGATGAGCTGCCTCCTGCATGCTTCCCACTGGGGATCGAGCCGGCAACCTGAGCATGTGCCCTGATGGGGAATTGAATCATAACCTCCTGGTTCATAGGACAATGTTCAACCACTGAGCCATTCTGGCCAGGCATAAGTCAAAGTATTTTTAAAAAATAATTACATAGTTCTAGCCTGTTTGGGCCAATGGATAGAGCATTGGCCTGAAGGGTCCTGCGTTTAATTCTGGTCAAGGGCACATGCCCGGGTTGCAGGCTCAATCCCCAGTAGGAGGTGTGCAGGAGGCAGCCATCAGTGATTCTTTCTCATCGTTGATGTTTCTATCTCTCCCTCTCCCTTCCTCTGTGAAATCAATACAAATATATTTTTAAGTGTCATTTGTGAACTCAAAAAAAAAAATTACATAAAGAATGCAACTGATTTTTCGTGTTTACTTGGTAAAGATTTTACATCCTACAAAGTTACTTTCACCAGCTAAAAACTAGAAAACCCTATAGAAGAACATCGTATACCTGTTCTGCAGATATGTCATCACAAGATCCAGCTATAGAAATTTGATAATTGAGAAAATTTTGTTCTCCATCTTAGTTTCTAATTAAACTGATGCTACTGCCTTTTCTGGGCATGCATTTTTGTGATTTCTATCTTCGGTGTACCACTTTTGCATTTTGACCAGAAAAGGAAATGAGATACTTGGCCAAACTTTATGGCTTCAGTCATTGTTTTTAATATATTTGTTTCTGATGCAAAAATAACAGTGGCAAAGGACAACTAAAAGTCTAGAAACACCTTGTTCAGCTTCCATTTCTCTTTCCTATTCTGTAAAATGAGGGAATTAGAGACACTTTCTGAAATTCTGATTTTATTACTTCTGTAACCAGGGATCTTTAGTTACAAAAGCTATCCTTCTGTTCTCACAATTTGTATCAGGAACTGATTTTTGACAGCGTAAATACTACATACCAAAATTAAATTCTTTAATAATTTGAACACATTTTTGTTTATTTTTCGCTATTGTTAAAATTTTTTTTAACTTTTTGATATGTTAAATTCCCGATTTAGACCACTAGTTAGATCTAATGTCATACAACATTTGATTCTTCATGAATTTTATTAAAATTTTACTGAAATATATACAAATATAAAATTAGGTATATAATCCCTTAAATTTACAATGCTCATGTAGTTATAAAACAAAAACACCCTTAGAAATGAATTATCAACAAACTATAACAAGAAAGGGCAAATTAACAGTGTGATATGATGGATATCAATATTCTGGAATTATCACATTTGTTGGCATATAGGATATAAGGCATATATATCCTGTATGCCAACAAATGTGATAATATACATATACACATATATACATACACACAATACATTACAGTTTTATGGCATAATTTTTTGGAAAAAAAGTTTCTTCATGTAGTAAAAGTGATTTTAGAGTGTTACATGAACCATTTTTATTCAAATAAATACAGTATTTTATAATGTGAGAGGCTAAGTTCTGATAGCAGTCATATTGTATTAATCTTGAATAGGAATATAATGTCACATAGCTAAAAAAAAATGTAATGTGCCCAACCTGCATGGCTCAGTGGTTGAGCATCAACCTATAAACCAGGAGGTCACAGTTTGTTGCAGGCTCTATCCCCAGTGTGGGGTGTACAAGAGGCAGCCAGTCAATGATTCTCATCATTGATGTTTCTATCTCTCTCTCCCTCTCTTTTTATCTCTGAAATCAATAAAAATATATATTTTTTTAAAAAAGTAATTGGCAAATACTACTACACAGGAGGCAAGAAAACCAGGAAATTTACTAGAATTAAAGTCTCATGAGTATTAAAGTAGGTAAAATTAATATATTAATACCCTATGTCAGTGAATGTAGGGGGTCTAAAAAGTAAACCATAATATAAAATAAAATTGAATAAATGTCTTTTGCAGGTAGCTCTAGTACATATAAACAAATATTTCAGTAAAAAATGGAAGAAAGCACTTAAAATGTGAAGGAATTTCGATTTGACTTTTGTGTATATAGTAAAGCAAGTCTTTTACTATTAGAATACAAAGAGCAACCAAAGAATTTGAATAATCTCTAATAAAAATTGTGTTAAAGCATTAGCTGGTTTGGCTAAGTGGTTAGAGCATCAGCCTGCAGACTGAAGGGTCATGAGTTCAATTCCGGTCAAGCGCACA